ACGAGTGTGTGTTTGTGTACACAAAAGTAAAGAAATGTGTTGTATCGAAAATGTATGACTATGAGCGCCGTCAGTATATCTGTCAGTCAGCCAGTCTGTCTGTCTGTTTGCCTGCCTGTCTGTCTGTCTACCTGTCTGTCTGCCTGTCTGTATACCTTCGTGTCGACCAAGCTCACCTGGACTGGACTGACCAAACCAACATCGGTTTCCCGCCAAAACGTGCGTAGGCCAGCACGTCCCTATTTACCCCGTGTGTTTGACCGCGGCCTAAAGGCAAACATCGGGGTGGTCATCCCCACTCGGACAACGAAGCACGGAACAGACATTAACGAGGTGTGTAAACAGGATTTAAAGCATTATGGCCCTTGTCTACTCTCTCAGACCGGCAATGGATACTTCTCCTGCTGGCCTCTTCGTTTAGGACCTTTTCTCATGGCAGTGAATCCTTGACACATGGACGTCATCGGTTGTACAACGATGCCATTAACGAGTGTAGCATTCTACTACTTTCTTTCGTGGCACAAAGCATTCGGGATCTTTTTTGTGTGTGAAACTAAACAAATGAAATATTGATTAACGTACGTGCGCTACGTATAGTCGAATCTTGTTGTTTTTTTTAAGAGAAAGTACCAAATGTCCAGTAACCCGTCTCAGAATTCGTGCTGGGATCATGCAGAGCACTAAACGCTGAAGTGGACAGGTGATGTGCAGGCTGAGATTGAGGAGAGACGCCGTTAATCCGGGGACTCCAGACAGGTTACGAGAGAAAACTAGGGGTCTAGGCCGTTAAAAACGGCGGCCCAGCCTGTACACAGACCACAGGGAGGTTTGGTGTGATTTGTTAGTCGCACACCCACCCCTTTCTCTTCTCAACACCCCCTCCGACTCACCCCCCTCCCCCTACACACAAACACACATACTTCCAGCTCTCTCTCTCTCTTTCTTTCTCTTCTCTCTCTCTCTCTCTCTCTCTCTCTCTCTCTCTCTCTCTCTCTCTCTCTCTCTCTCTCTCTCTCTCTTTCCCTCTCTGTGTTTCTTTCCCTGTTCCTCCCTCTCTCTACCTCCCCTTTTCTCTCTCTCTTCTTTTTCTCTTGACCCTCCATACCATTCCTTTCCTGCTGTGTTTCCATGTTTCAGCCTACAGCCTGACCAACCCCCACGCATGTCCACTTTTACTTTCTGAAGCCCACCACCCCTCCTCCCTTTTCGCACACCCTTCTCTCCATACCCTCATGCTCTCACCATTCTCGTCCAATACCTGTTCCTGTTGTATTTAAAATGAATTTCCCGCACTGCGGCAATAGCTAAATAGCTACACCTTTGGTCTGCCGTGGCGTGATGTTAGTTCCATAATTTGCTGCCATTTCGGAGGCATAATGTAATTTTGGTTGGTTGTTATTGTTTTCTCTTGATGAGATTCTGATACTCTATTCTTTCTGGATAGCCGTCACTGGATATAATTTAACAGATCACGGGTACTGATTTAGAAATGTTTCGATGGCATTTTGTAGTAAGTATATTTACGGAACTGTCAAAATGCAGTATACGGAATTGCTACCACCTCTCCTCTAATGGGCAAATTTTATGTGCATCTGTCTCCTGCTAATGTCTGTGGTATACTGTCTAATTAACCTTATCCGTACGCTCAGGGGTAATTTTGAACCCCCGGAGTTGTTTTCTTCACATTTTAGAATACTTTTAGTACGAAGATCTCTTTGAAACTTTCAGTATTTCAAAAAAATAAATCATTTTGACAGACTGCTATGCAAAGCGAACGGATCGGATTAACAAGTAAATTTCCTCTTTGGAAAGTGGTCCCACGAAGTTCACCACGTCGTATGGATACGATATTAAAACACGACGTACGGATGGGGTTAAGCGCCTCGACGTTGCCCGGTCAGACTGTCGTGCAAGTTCGATTAACGTGTAGGGACGTTAAGCTTAACTCCAAGAATCGCTAGTGTCTGTGTATGTGTCAATATATCAGAGTGATGTTATTTTCTCTGTGCCCGTTTTCCGACATGAAATGCGTCTCTATTCTTTTATACGTGGGTTTCTAATCGAAAGTTATGGTTTCATGACTGTTGCAAATGTTTAGAATTGTCAACTCTTCAGTCCTCATCATTTAATGACATTTTTAAAAGGAAGTGTTTTCACATCTCCCATCAACACAATTTACATACTTTCGGAGAAAGGTATGGACCGTTCCTGTCAGGGCCTGCCTGGACTGAGACTGACCTAGCAACGTCCTAGTAGAAAGGCCAAGATACATGACAAAACTCCCCCCAACAGGGAAATCGAACACAGGTCTTCTGCATGCGATGGTGAAGTGCCTAACCCTTACACCACAGACGCCAGTAGATTCTGTAATAAACTGACAAGCCATTTTAGATTTATTTCTGGTAGTCTGTTGTTAAGAACATCGTAAAATCTGTTTCAGCACGTAAGTACCGATTCTGTCCATAGCAACATCCACAAGAAAAGCTTCTCTGAAATAGCCTACCATAAAAATTCCCCACAAATTATCATTTGCAATCTATAACCTTGCCTTTGAATGCCAACCTGTATATAAAATATCTGATGATCAAAGCGCTGGCGAGGCATCCAAATCAGGCCGTACGGGGACCAATCAAGGGAGGTAACTGTGAAATAATTACTCTCCGGAAGTCGCTGACGAGCAATGTGCATTACGGCATATCAACGGATTTCTCAGACCCGCTCACGCTGATCGGCGTTTTCTGGGCAAGGGCCATCAGCTAGAGGCCTTTTTACCGTAGACAACGCGACAATTTGCATGCTAACGCGTTCTCCTGTGCGACATTGCTTTGATGTCGTTCTTTTGATGATGTCATAAAAGCTGTTTTTATTCTCTTTGGTCTGAATTTGCCAACTCTGACGTTTATACGGCCATGACGACTCGATGTTACGACCACCCTCACCCATTCCCACCCCTTCCAATCCCATCACTCCTGTTACAGAAAAAGCACTGCCGGAGATTGGGAAAACCAGGGGGAGGGAGGAGGGGGTGGGGGGAGTAGATCTAACGAAAATCAGCAAATGTGTTGAGCGTTTTTTGTTGCAAAAGGCAATCAGATCACCTCCTCTGGCCAATGTCATATCGTTGGCCAGTAGTTCAAATGTGCTAAGCCTAATTTATTTTGATTTCTAAAAAAGAATGCAGTTTCATTATCTGTAGAATAGGTTTCTTGTAGTCGAGAAATATTTTGTTAAAATTTGAATTCTAAATGCTTGAAAAAGCAAGAACAGATGCTTAATGTAGTTACAATTATTACAAGAACGAAACAGTTTTTATTTCCTCATTTCTAAAAGGTTGCACTTTCGTGGCTTAGAATATTTGAACAATTTTTTTCCCAGACATTTCCAAGGCCGGATACTTTGGTCTCACCAGTTAGGGTTACAACCCCCTGCTATGTGGCTATCCCTCTGTCCCTCCCTCTCCCCCTCTTTCTCTCTTTCACTCCAGGTTTCTCTCTCTCTCTCTCTCTCTCTCTCTCTCTCTCTCTCTCCCTCTCTCTCACACACACGCACACACACACACACACACATACACACACACACACACACACACATACACACACATACACATACATACACCACACATGCACACAAAAACTCACTCACATAATCATAACTATTCATAACCATGCTTCTCTCTCTCTCTCTCTCTCTCTCTCTCTCTCTCTCTCTCTCTCTCTCTCTCTCTCTCTCTCTCCCTCCCTCTCTCTCTCTCACACCCCCATAACCCCCACCCTCAAACACACTCTTATACACGCAAACACACACACACACACACACACACACACACACACACACACACACACACACACACACAAACAAACACACACACACTCACAGACAAACAAAATACATGATGATGAAAATAACTATGAAATGAAATCTTACAACCTTTTTACATTTCTCTGTTTCAGATCCTAGACTGCTACTGTGCCTAGAAGAAGTTATTCCTACACAGGCCTGTACAGCACCATCATCGTGAGCCCCCACACAGTGTTGTTTTAAAATCACTGTCTGCATAACACCACTAAAACCGTCCATATTTCTTACAACAGACGCAGGACATACGTTTGGAAACTACAAAACTATTATCCACTTCAAAGGAAACTGTGGGTATTCCAAAGCAGCAGCATACTTCCTGTTGTTTTTGGAGAATCAGGAAGTCTGCCAAACAGCTTGATTCCGAAAATTGTTGTAGTTGAAAATCGGCGGCATTTATGCTAAGAAATATCCCCAACTCAAATTCCTAAAGAATTGTGTAATACGTGAATTACTCACAGGGCGTGAAAAGATCTCGAAAAGTCTGGAAAGAGTGATTCGATTTTGTGAAAATTCGGAAATTTGAGGATGAATACTGTGTTTATTTCTGTGGTGCATTCGCGACCGTGGGAGTAATGCCAAGTCACGTGGGTGTCATGTGATCGGATCTATTTATAGTCAACCAGTGAGAAAATGAGGCCTCCAAATTTATGCACGGTGCTTCGTGTGCTGCTTGTGCTGCTACTGTGTGCGGAGCGATGCGTGGCGGTCAAATGGCTGTAAGTACACACTGAAGTACTGTAATAATAGCTTATTATTGGGCTACGGAGAACTGTGTCACGAAGTGGTTTTTGTGTCCTTTTGTGTGTGTTTTTTTGTTTTGTTTCGGTAAGTGTTTTACGGCGCTCGCAACTGTATAAGGTCATAATATGAACGCGCAGGACACAGTAAACATTTTCAGTTGTAACGAAGTATGAAAGTAAGTAAGTGTATATGGCGAAATCTATCTTGTCAGTATCCTAGTGTTTTAGCGCCCATAAATGGCAGCTTGCACTGTGTGCTTCCAAAGAAGTTGAATTTGTTTCAGAATACTATCAGGTCTGCAGGGGGTAATAATATAGATTATGAAACGCAAAGAGGTTGCTTTTAGCAGGAAATTGCGCTATACAAAAATGCTATCTATCTATCTATCTATCTATCTATCTATCTATCTATCTATCTATCTATCTATCTATCTATCTATCTATCTATCTATCACCCTCTCTAATCTATCTATCTATCTATCTATCTATCTATCTATCTATCTATCTATCTATCTATCTATCTATCTATCTATCTATCTATCTATCTATCTATCCATCTATCACCCTCTCTAATCTATCTATCTATCTATCTATCACTTCAACACCCTAACTATACTTTTAGGTTATTTAAGAGGCTGAACCTTTGAATGTTACGTCTGTCACCAATAGGACAGGGCCAAGATGAGTTGAGACTTGTGAAGCTCCACAAAACGACCTTATTATACCAGAACGCCCAGTCTGGGATTCGAACAAGGATAACCTGCTCCATAATACAACAAGGCAACCACTTACCTAACGGAACGCATTATGTAAAAAGAATTGTGTGTATTAAAAAGTGTAACCAAAAGAAATTACCAGAGACCCCCCCCCCCCCAGCAAAAAATAGTTTTAATTGAACGAAAACAGACAGGCAGACAGACAGATACAAAGACAGACATAATATGTGTATATTACTCAGTGACTCCCTCTTTCCTTTTGGGAACTACGACGATTTACACAATGTACTTATCAACGGACGGATCGGCATGTCCGAAAACTGGAAGGTTGACCTAGTAATCAAGACGGTAGAAAAATATGATGACAGCCCATAAGTCAGAGAGTGTTTGTGCCGTGAGGGTGGTTTCTCCGCCCGTGGGGAAGTTAAATGTTTCTGAGACTGCAGACTATTCCCACCTAGTGGCCCCCTGGCCGAGGGTCGGCAATATTGAAGAGGTGTAACCCCCCCCCCCCCCTCAAAAATCCTTGCTAAAAAAAAAAAATAAATAACAGAAGAAAAAGATGATTTTAAAAATTAAACTATAACAAAGTCAAATAAAAAGAATAACTTTAAAAAATAATTAAAAATACAAGTATAAATACCTAAATTCCTAATAGATAAATAAATAAATACAAAATAAACATTAAAGAGAATAAGCTAATAAAAAATAATTGGATTAAATTGAAGTAAAAATGAAAAGCGAAAAGAAATAGTCAAGACAATGAACATACACTATGTACACGTTTTGAATTTAGCTTAAATCATCGGCATCTGTAGTGTAGCGATTAGGATGTGCGTCGCCGTGGCATAGGAAAATCGAGTTCGATTTCGGGGTGGGAAGAGCTTTTATCGAGTTTTTCCGCCTTTCTGCTGGGATGTTGCATCCCTCTCAGTCCTGTTTGGGTCTGACAGGCAGGGTCAAAGCACGCCTCCTAAATTTGTTAATCTAAATTGTGTTGATGGGTGCGTAAAACACCTGCATTTAAATAAATAAATCTTACATTTGCTCAGGGCTTGGAGATTCCACGGCTTTTTATTTATAGACAACAGATGTGACCCCCAAACCACGACTGTTTTCCAGTTAGTTTAAATATAACGTCTGAATGGCCTGGTGTCATAAAATGTTTGTTAACAACGATAAATAGCTATCTTGGCTAAAACAGCAAGTAGGTGGGAGGGATAAAAGCTCCGGAGTAGAATTCCGGCTTGTTCATTTTTAGTATGTTATGTGTCCAGGTAAAAGGGAAAGATCAGGGAAACGTTGGTTTTTTTTTTAGAGCATCCGAGCAAATGAATGAATGGAGAACCATGATCGCCGATGTCTGTCGCAGATCTGGCACTGGATGATGATGATGATGTGTCCGGTGCCTGTTAATGATAAACAATCAAGAGAACGGAGACGTTCGGGACGTTGATAGTTTACAGAAACAGGAAAACTGCGCTGTGAATGTCACGTACGACAAATTAATGACGTTAGTGAAGAGAGAACCGGAATTAAACAACGAGAAACATGTTAGCGGGGGAGGGGGTGAGAGAAGAGAGAGAGAGAGAGAGAGAGAGAGAGAGAGAGAGAGAGAGAGAGAGAGAGAGAGAGAGAGAGAGAGAGAGAGAGAGAGAGAGAGAGAGAGAGAGAGACAGAGAGAGAGAGAGAGAGAGAGAGAGAGAGAGAGAGAGATACAGATAGAGACAAAGAGGGAGAAAGATTGGGGTGGGGGTCGG